GGGGGGGGGGGGGGCGGCGTGAAGGAACCGAAGGGAAAGGGGCCAGATGCCTTCCCTGTCCACTTAGGCACCCGGGAGACTGTTGGGCTCCCAGGACTAATCCTCTGCCCTCCGAGCATCCCTCTTAAAGCGCAGAGTCCAAGCCCCGCCCCTACACCCCACACAGGGCACCACCTCTACATTCGGAGACCCCCTCCAATGAGCTGGGCCTAAACCGAACCCACACACCCTCACCCAGGGCCCTACCTCCTAACTCCGGAAGCCCACACTCCACAGCCCTCCTTCCCACGTGCTGCCTCCCCCTTCTGCACAGGTCCTAAGCAGAGGCCCCGCCCCACACTCAAATGTCACCCCCCCACCCGCCTGGGTCCTGCCTCCCAAACCCCACCTGTGGTGCCTAAGTTCCACCCCCTACCTAAACTCCACCCCCATAGACAAGGCTTTTTTTTTTCTTTTTTCCTTTTTTCTTTTCTTTTTTCCTCTTTTAGACTGGAGTTCTGTTTTACCTTGTTGATTCATTTATATTTTTATTTTCCTAATAAATCTTTTATTTTTCTAATTTCATATTATTCTTTATGGTTTGTTAGTGATCTCTCCTTTTGGCTTGTTGCCCTCCCCTCAGCCTTTTTTTTCTTTTTCCTGCTGTGGTTTTATTTTACCTTGTTGCAGTAGTTTCAATTATAGTTTTATTTTTCCTAATATATTTTTTATCTTTCTAATTTTATTTTTGTTTGTTTGTTTTTGTGGTACGTGGGTCTCTCACTGCTGTGGCCTCTCCCATTGCGAAGCACAGGTTCCAGACGTGCAGGCTCAACGGCCATGGCTCACGGGCCCAGCCTCTCCACAGCATGTGGGATCTTCCTGGACCGGGGCACGAACCCGTGTCCCCTGCATTGGCAGGCGGACTCTCAACCACTGCGCCACCAAGGAAGCCCTTTATTTTGTTTTTTATTCTTTGATATTGTACTGCTCCTTTTTTTTTTTGTTCTTCCTTTTTTTTTTTTTTCTGCACCACGAAGCTTGCAGGATCTTGGTTCCCAGGCCGGAGGTAGGGCCAGAGCTCCTGTGGTGGGAGCTCCAAGTCCAAACCACTGGACTACCAGAGAACCTCAGACCCCAGGGAATATCCATCAGAGTGAGGGCTCCTCATCTCAGCACCAAGACCCAGCTCTACCCAACTGCCTGCAAATGCCAGTGCTGGACATCTCAGGCCAAACAACCAGTAATACAGGAAGACAGCACCACCCATCAAAAAAAAAAAAAAAAAAAAAAAAAAAAAAAATATGTCACAGATGAAGGAGCAAGGTAAAAACCTACAAGACCAAATAAATGAAGAAGAAACAGGCAACCTACCTGAAAAAGACTTCAGAGTAATGATAGTAAAGATGATCCCAAACCTTGGAAACAGAAAGGAGAAAATACAAGAAACATTTAACAAGGATCTAGAAGGACTAAAGATCAAACAAACAGTGGTGAACAACACAATTACTGAAATTAAAAATACTCTAGAAGGAGTCAATAACAGAGTAACTGAGGCAGAAGAACAGATAAATGAGCAGAAAGATAAAATGGTGGAAATAACTGCCAGGGAGCAGAATAAAGAAAAAAGAATGAAAAGAATTGAGGAAAGTCTCAGAGAACTCTGGGACAACATTAAACGCACAAACATTGGAATTATAGGGGTCCCAGAAGAAGAAGAGAAAAAGAAAGGGACTGAGAAAATATCTGAACACATTATATAGTCAAAAACTTCCCTAACATGGGGAAGGAAATAGTCAATCAAGTCCAGGAAGCACAGAGAGTACCATACCAGATAAACCCAAAGAGAAACATGCTGAGACACATATTAATCAAACTATCAAAAATTAAATACAAAGAGAGAGTATTAAAAGCAGCAAGGGAAAAGCAACAAATTTCATACAAGGGAATCCCCATAAGGTTAACAACTGATTTTTCAGCAGAAAATCTGCAAGCCAGGAGGGAGTGACAGGACATATTTAAAGTGATGAAAGACAAAAACCTACAACCAAGATTACTCTAACCAGCAAGGATCTCATGAAGATTCCACAGAGAAATTAAAACCTTTACAGACAAGCAAAAGTTATGAGAATTCAGCACCACCAAACCAATTTTACAACAAATGCTAAAGGAACTTCTCTAGGCAGGAAACACAAGAGAAGGAAAAGACCTACAAAAACAAACCCAGAACAATTAAGAAAATGGTAATGGGAACATACATACTGATAACTACCTTAAATGTAAATGGATTAAATGCTCCAACCAAAAGACACAGACTGGCTAAATTGATACAAAAACAAGACCCTGGGCTTCCCTGGTGGCGCAGTGGTTGAGAGTCCGCCTGCCAATGCAGGGAACACGGGTTCGTGCCCCGGTCTGGGAGGATCCCACATGCCGCGGAGCGGCTGGGCCCTTGAGCCATGGCCGCTGAGCCTGCACGTCTGGAGCCTGTGCTCCGCAACGGGAGAGGCCACAACAGTGAGAGGCCCGTGTACTGCAAAAAAAAAAAAAAAAAAAACAAGACCCTTACATATGCTGTCTACAAGAGACCCACATCAGACCTAGGGACACATACAGACTGAAAGTGAGGGGATGGAAAAAGATATTCCATGCAAATGGAAATCAAAAGAAAGCTGGAAGAGCAATTCTCATATCAGACAAAATAGACTTTAAAATAAACACTATTACAAGAGACAAAGAAGGACACTACATAACGATCAAGGGATCAATCCAAGAAGAAGATATAACAATTGTAAATATTTATGCACCCAACATAGGAGCACCTCAATACATAAGACAGATGCTAACAGCCATAAAAGGGGAAATTGACAGTAACACAAACATAGTAGGGGACTTTTAACACCCCACTTTCACCAATGGACAGATCATCCAAAATGAAAATAAATAAGGAAACACAAGTTTTAATGACACATTAAACAAGATGGACTTAATTGATATTTATAGGACATTCCATCCAAAAATGACAGAATACACTTTCTTCTCAAGTGCTCATTGAACATTCTCCAGGATAGAGCTTATCTTGGGTCACAAATCAAGCCTTGGTAAATTTAAGAAAACTGAAATTGTATCAAGTATCTTTTCCTACCACAACACTATGAGACTAGCTATCAATTACAGGAAAAAAAAAAATCTGTAAAAAATACAAACACATGGAGGCTAAACAATACACTACTAAATAACCAAGAGATCACTGAAGAAATCAAAGAGGAAATCAAAAAATACCTAGAAACAAATGACAATGAAAACATGACAACCCAAAACCTATGGGATGCAGCAAAAGCAGTTCTAAGAGGGCAGTTTATAGCAATACAATCCTACCTCAAGAAACAAGAAAAATCTCAAATAAACAACCTAACCTTACACCTAAAGCAAACAGAGAAAGAAGAGCAAAAAAAAAACCCCCAAAGTTAGCAGAAGGAAAGAAATCATAAAGATCAGATCAGAAATAAATGCAAAAGAAATGAAGGAAACAATAGCAAAGATCAATAAAACTAAAAGCTGGTTCTTTGAGAAGATAAATGAAATTGGTAAACCATTAGCCAGACTCAACCATAAAAAACGGGAGAAGACTCAAGTCAATAGAATTAGAAATGAAAAAGGAGAAGTAACAACTGACACTGCAGAAATGCAAAGGATCATGAGGGATTACTACAAGCAACAATATGCCAATAACATGGACAACCTGGAAGAAATGGACAAATTCTTAGAAAACCACAATCTTCCAAGACTGAACCAGGAAGAAATAGAAAATGTATACAGACCAATCATAAGCACTGAAATTAAGACTGTAATTAAAAATCTTCCAACAAACAAAAGGCCAGGACCAGATGGCTTCACAGGCGAATTCTATCAAACATTTAGAGAAGAGCTAACACCTATCCTTCTCAAACTCTTCCAAAATATAGCAGAGGGAGGAACACTCACAAACTCATTCTATGAGGCCACCATCACCCTGATACCAAAACCAGACAAAGATGTCACAAAAAAAGAAAACTATAGGCCAATATCTCTGATGAATATAGATGCAAAAATCCTCAACAAAATACTAGCAAACAGAATCCAACAGCACATTAAAAGTATCATACACCATGATCAAGTGGGGTTTATCCCAAGAATGCAAGGATTCTTCAATATACCCAAATCAATCAATGTGATACACCATATTAACAAATTGAAGGAGAAAAACCATATGATCATCTCAATAGATGCAGAGAAAGCTTTCGACAAAATTCAACACCCATTTATGAAAAAAACCCTCCAGAAAGTAGGCATAGAGGGAACTTACCTCAATATAATAAAGGCCATATATGAGAAACCCACAGCCAACATCATTCT